AAATGATTCTGACCCATTTTCATTATTACGGAAGTTAAAAATAAACTGTAATAAATAAATTGTAGTCATTTTTATATGTCCTGACATAAACATTTGTTCTGTGATTAAAGTTATTGCTGGAAAAGTACAAATGGTGTGTTTTTTGATTTTATCATCAAATCTCATATTATTTATCCAAAACAATTGTTAATTAAAAATTCTCATCTTATCAAAAAACGATATTAAAAATAGAAAACAACCAGTTAATCATGTTTTACTTAAAATTTACACATCAATTAAGTGTTTAAAATTACATTTATAACCATAAAAATAACTATTATTTCAACTACTCAATTTCAATGAATAAATACTATAATACGCTTCTTGTCTAGTCTTCTGAATGGCTTGTGAGCACTAAGATTGTCTTTCTGAAAAAAAAATAGTGTTTTTCTAAATCTAATTTGATGTCCTGTGGTAGTGTAATAAGTCTAGTGGTAAAGTAAAGCCAATCTTAGTGCTAACAAGCCATACTCAATTTCAATAGTATTTTTATGTTATAAATGTAATTTTTAATTTTAACTATATTAAATTTAAATATAGAACAATGTACTTTTTAATTAAAATATATAGTTTATTTTATACAATTTTATTATTTATTTTATTTTATAATCATCTATAGTTTTTAATATATGAATCATTTTATAATTCTAACTATTAGAACTATTTAATGAGTAAAAATATATAAATAATTCATTTATTTTTGTCAAAAATATCTTTTTCTATGAAAATTCAATAGATAAAAATAAAAAAACTTATTAATTTTATATTTTTGTAATGTAATTTATAACCCAATTGAAAATAAATTACACATTTTTTTGTTTTCACTGTATTATGCTTGTTTTTTTTTAAATGGGCACGCTTTATATAGTAATTTCAATAAATATTACTTTAAATATCAAAATGTTTTATTTATATTTTATTTTTATATCACCATTCATGACATCAAAGTTAAATTTTGTAATTTTGCTATTATGTAGTTGTGTAGTTATTTCACTTGAGGTTCATGGTCAGGTTTTTGCTAAGAGATTGGGTACGTGGGCAAAATAAGTTTGGGAACTAAAAGGAAGACTATCTCTTCCAGTCTAGGATCAAACAGTAATTTGAATTTTGAAAATTGTCTACCATTTATTACATATTATACTAAATATTTATATTTGGCTTAATTATGACAAAAATTTATATTAATAATAAGCATATATGTAAATTTTTACAATAATTCATCTGATGTTTAGCAAAATAAATTCATATTTAAATTTATAGTGCATTTGACTTCCCTTTGAGTATGAAATGCATGGAATCATTGCACCCCCAAAGTATAAAATACCTCTTTTGAAATATGAAAATTTGTATTAGACATGTTTAAATAATTTATATTTAATTGGTACAGAATTAAAATTATAGTTTACAAACATTCCTTTAAAAAACTGTCATTATTTACCTAATTCCTACAGCCCTAAAACCAACTACTGTATTAGACAATTTTAAATCTGTAAGAGTATTAGTATTTATATTACAGTAGAGTGTCGATTTTCCGAAAGTCAATCATCTGAAAGAATTCCAGTCGGCAAATTTAAATTTTTGCCAGTGCTGTGGCACTTCAATCTTTGGCTATGTCTTGGGCTACTCAAATATTTTACGTTTTTGATACTAAATTAACATCTGAAGTATAATTNAAATGTTAAAGAATTCTATTCAAAAATGTGTTCAATCCTGAAGATGCCTACACAGATAGCTGAAAGCATTAGATGAATTAAAAAATAATTGCTGAAATAGGTTTTTTGTCTTTAAGTATTTACATTAATCCAGTTCAAGATCAATATATGAGAATATAGCATACAACTCTTAAATTGACTTACAAAATATAAAAAATATATTAATATAAAATGAAATTTTTACCTTTTAGATCTAGGAATATTTGGATCGCTTCTTTTTCTGAAGGAAGGTCTGCTTTCTCTCTGTAATTTTAAAAATTTTATTAAATATAATGAAAATAAAAGCAGGAAATTAAGTAAATAGTTAAAGGGTCTGTTTATACTCTTAACATTACTGCAATTATCATAATACCACTACTGATGGCATAGCTTAGATATATAAAACTGTTATTTAACTTCAAAAAACAAGAATAATGAATAAATACATCATATCTGATTTTTGTTTTTCATATAAGGAAAAATTTAAACAACATTTTATGTTTAAGAAAAAGAAACATGAGTAGCTAATCAGATTTCTCTTCTATGCAATTCTAATTTGGTTGTTATGTTTGTTGTAATAATCATACCTACCTTCTGGACTAATTCATTGCATAACTGAGGCATAGAAATGTTTGATACTGATCCAAACTCAATTGAATACTCTAAAGCACTGTTTCCCAAAGTGGTTCCTATGAACCCCTGGGGTCCTTGGAATCGCTGATGGGGTCTGTGAGAAATTAAAATTAATTTGAGGGTGTGTGGACAATGTCAGGGGGTCTAGGAAAAGTATAATAGAAAGTAAAATGATTCTGACCCATTTTCATTATTACGGAAGTTAAAAATAAACTGTAATAAATAAATTGTAGTCATTTTTATATGTCCTGACATAAACATTTGTTCTGTGATTAAAGTTATTGCTGGAAAAGTACAAATGGTGTGTTTTTTGATTTTATCATCAAATCTCATATTATTTATCCAAAACAATTGTTAATTAAAAATTCTCATCTTATCAAAAAACGATATTAAAAATAGAAAACAACCAGTTAATCATGTTTTACTTAAAATTTACACATCAATTAAGTGTTTAAAATTACATTTATAACCATAAAAATAACTATTATTTCAACTACTCAATTTCAATGAATAAATACTATAATACGCTTCTTGTCTAGTCTTCTGAATGGCTTGTGAGCACTAAGATTGTCTTTCTGAAAAAAAATTAGTGTTTTTCTAAATCTAATTTGATGTCCTGTGGTAGTGTAATAAGTCTAGTGGTAAAGTAAAGCCAATCTTAGTGCTAACAAGCCATACTCAATTTCAATAGTATTTTTATGTTATAAATGTAATTTTTAATTTTAACTATATTAAATTTAAATATAGAACAATGTACTTTTTAATTAAAATATATAGTTTATTTTATACAATTTTATTATTTATTTTATTTTATAATCATCTATAGTTTTTAATATATGAATCATTTTATAATTCTAACTATTAGAACTATTTAATGACTAAAAATATATAAATAATTCATTTATTTTTGTCAAAAATATCTTTTTCTATGAAAATTCAATAGATAAAAATAAAAAAACTTATTAATTTTATATTTTTGTAATGTAATTTATAACCCAATTGAAAATAAATTACACATTTTTTTGTTTTCACTGTATTATGCTTGTTTTTTTTTAAATGGGCACGCTTTATATAGTAATTTCAATAAATATTACTTTAAATATCAAAATGTTTTATTTATATTTTATTTTTATATCACCATTCATGACATCAAAGTTAAATTTTGTAATTTTGCTATTATGTAGTTGTGTAGTTATTTCACTTGAGGTTCATGGTCAGGTTTTTGCTAAGAGATTGGGTACGTGGGCAAAATAAGTTTGGGAACTAAAAGGAAGACTATCTCTTCCAGTCTAGGATCAAACAGTAATTTGAATTTTGAAAATTGTCTACCATTTATTACATATTATACTAAATATTTATATTTGGCTTAATTATGACAAAAATTTATATTAATAATAAGCATATATGTAAATTTTTACAATAATTCATCTGATGTTTAGCAAAATAAATTCATATTTAAATTTATAGTGCATTTGACTTCCCTTTGAGTATGAAATGCATGGAATCATTGCACCCCCAAAGTATAAAATACCTCTTTTGAAATATGAAAATTTGTATTAGACATGTTTAAATAATTTATATTTAATTGGTACAGAATTAAAATTATAGTTTACAAACATTCCTTTAAAAAACTGTCATTATTTACCTAATTCCTACAGCCCTAAAACCAACTACTGTATTAGACAATTTTAAATCTGTAAGAGTATTAGTATTTATATTACAGTAGAGTGTCGATTTTCCGAAAGTCAATCATCTGAAAGAATTCCAGTCGGCAAATTTAANCATATATATATATAATACTGTATTTTCTTTGATTAAACACTAGGAGGGTTTATTTTAAAACTGCATGTATCCTCAGAGATTTTTGAGACAGGGATTTATTACCTTACAAAAAGAAACAAGTAGATAAAAATTGAAAGAAATATTTTAATTGTTTTAATTTACAGGTTACAGCTACAACATTTGAAATAATTACTATATTCATATTTAATCTGATTCAGCATTTTTTGATTTGGTTGTTAAATTGTCTATTTTGATATTGTTGGATCTTGACTACAATCTTCTGGTTTAAACTCATCATCTTGGCTAGTTGGCTAAGGCAGTTAAGGCACCAACCTAGCACTCCAGAGTGATAACTTGATATCTTAACTGCCTCGAGAGAGTCAAAAATCCCTAAGATTTTATTTGGGATGATATTATCCATGTCTGTTGGGACAGACCTGGCCTCACAGACCTTTCTTACTACTTGGCCACCACCTTGTGGGGCCTGGTCAAACTTACAATGGACTTGAGAAAAAAGGCCCTCTTACTGCTCACAGGGTGGAAAGAGTAAAACAAAAAAAAAACCTGCCATTCTAAACTACATTATGCTATACTGATCTGTACTTCAACATGTTTTCCATGTTTTTCAATCTGGGATTTATTTTTTAATAACACCTTCATTCTACAGGGTTTATTTGATGACTTAGAGATATAATTGAGAAAATATGGTATTTATATTTATATTATTCATATATTTAATAATAATTTGAATTTTACCTTGTTTCATGTAATCTTTTTCAACTTTAGAATAAGTAAATGTATTTCTTAATAATTATTAATTTTATTTTATTTCATTACTGTTTATTTTTATTTTAGAATTTCAAAAAAATGGAACAAACATGCTTCTCATGATTTTTCAATTGATGCAAAACATGAGGTAATACATATGTAATTATTCTATTATCAGTATTATTATTTTATAGCACTTAATTCACTTAAATTATAAAATTGTTTGCATTTGTGATTAAAAAAAATTTGATACATTATCTTAGTAATAATATATGACAACTTTTTTCTTAGACAAATCTGCTATTAACAGAGTTTATCAAAATTATTGATGTAGTTAGTAAAACTAATGAGTGAACCATATTTTATCACACAAATTATAATTAAATATATTTATATTAGGCTGCAGTTTATTAAAAATAATATTTAAATTTTAATTCTTTAAGTAGGTTTGTAATTGGCAAATTCTAATATTGCCATTTCTTAATCTGCTTTCATAAAATAAAACAAGAGACATATGAATTGATACTTTTTCAAATTTTTTCATTAAGCAATTTAAAATGTATGAAACACAATTGCATATATACACTTTTATGTATCTGTATTTGCAAGTTTTTAGTCTACTTATTGATTTGAAAGAAAAGATTATGATGATAAAAATATTTCTAACTTAATTTTTAATTATATTACAAATATTCATCAATTTGCTCATAGTAACCCTATGAATAATTATTTTTGAAGATGTTAGAAATGTATGTTCCATCATTAAAATGTTGAAATCTTTATCATAGCTTCATAAAACAGGAACACAGTGGAACTCCATTTATCCAAAATTGGAAAGATAGACATAAGGCAAACCTATAAATCCGAAAAAATCAAAGAACTAACTTGTAAATAGTACATTCTTGCCTGAATATAATGTTGCAGCTGTAAGAATACTGTTTTCCCTTGGCTTAATTCCAATTTAGAACACCTGTAACTTTATACGAGGATCAGGTAACAAAAATAAATATAGTACAGTATATCAAATACTTCAGTTCAAATTAGTCCTACAGGCTTAGTGCTCTGTAGGGAAACCAATTACTGGTTGACCTTGAAAAAGGTCATAAAGAGAAATTTACCCCACAAATGGTCAGGAAACTTATGTACATAGCTGATAGAAAACAAAGAACTGATACTGTATGTAGATACATCTTTTGCTTTATACTGTTAATATTGTTGTAAAATTATATATAATGTACAATAAATAAAATAAATAACACAGTTTAGATGCACATTATATGTTGTTAATGGATTTTGGTCATCTGGGTTAGGCCTGGTCCTGTTTGAGCTGGATGAACATGGTTCCACTGTATCACAAAGATATATATTGTTACTCTTCTCTAACTGCACTTTGTACAAACAATTAAACCTCAAACAAAACCTTTTAATATGCAGCCATTTTATTATCTATTCAAATGCTTTTGGTCATTTTTAATGACTTCCTTCAAGAACAAAAATCAAATGCTTCTGATTTGTATACAACAAAATTTGTTTTGGAACATTTTTAATTTTGAACTTTCTAGTGTGCAATCTCATAAATATAAAATTACAATATATATGCGATAATAACATGTACAAACACAAACATACAAATAAAGTAGATACAAACATAATAAATGAATAAATAAATACATAAAGAAAGTAACATAACTGCAAACATAAAAAGGCTACAGTTGCACCTATTTCTTGAAACTGTCCCTTTTGCCTACTAATATATTTATATTACGCCTGCTCTAAAAGGTGGCAAAAAGAGCTTTACTATATTGGAGCCACAGGGAGGTCGTTAAAAGAAAGATTAAAAGAACATAAAAGAAACATATGGAATGAGCAGTCAGTCAGTGCACTCACTAGTGATGTATATTTTAGCAGACCCAACAGAGGTTACAGTGGATTGGGAATGAACAAAAGTAATACAAAAGATTCAAGACAAGAGACACCTCAAATATACAGAGGCAGGGCAAATAAACAAGACCAGCCAGGCAGGACAAGCAATCAACTTTAGAGAATGAAGTAAAATCTCAGCAGTATGGAAAGTGGGCATAATATAAATATATTAGTAGGCAAAAGGGACAGTTTCAAGAAATAGGTGCAATTGTAGCCTTTTTATGTTTGTAGTTGTTACTTTATTTATGTATTTATTTGTTTATTCATTCATTTATTATGTTTATATCTACTTTATTTGTATGTTTGTACATGTTATTATTGTGTATATATTGTAATTTTATATTTATGAGATTGCACACTAGAAAGTTCAAATTTAAAAACATTACAAAACAAATTTTGTTGTATACAAATCAGAAGCATTCAATTTTTGTTCTTGAAGAAAGTCATTAAAAATGACCAAAAGTGTTCAAATAGATTATAAAATGGCTGCATATTAAAAGGTATTGTTTGAGGTTTAGTTATATATATTGTTTTTATGTAACTATTTTTAGGATTACAACTTATAAATAACAAATATCTGTAAATGAATATTATGCACAATTAATGCTCCTGAACCAAATATTGATCATTACTATTGTGTTGATTCTGTTAATAAATGATTATTACTTTATTTATAGAAATTTATAAATATTTTAAATAAAGTATAGAAAAAGTTTTTACTGATTGTCCTTATATATAAGGACAATCATAAAAACTTTTTCTATACTTTATTACTTAATTTAAATATAAATAAATTTAAATATTTTATTACTAATTACTTTATATNATATTGGACTTTCTCATGGAAAGACTTGGGGGCTAGGATTATTATATTATTTGGAAGCACAATGTCTCTTAGTTTTCTGTTTAATGCTGACACAATCTAGTTATTCTTTTATTTATTTATTTATTTTTGTTTAATTCTAAGAATCTTACATAACTATTTGAATTTAAAATGATATGATTTGGTCTTTTGAAAAATGTATGTATCTCGTCAATGAAACTATATAAATATTTAGTTTAATTTTACTCAGAATTTCTGGGAAAGTGGCAGTTGTGCGCAGTTCTTATGAGCATGTTTCTCTTGATGTTGTAAGATGTCACATTCTTATCATAATAATATAAATGGTGTCTTTCATTTTTTATGTGTTATTAATTAATGTATAGAAAATGATATAAAACTGTGCTAAGCACATCTTTGCTTTTATTGCAAATTATGTTAAATTGAAGAGAATGGAGTCCATAGTACAGAAAAGAAATTTATGTTAATGCAATAGTTTGGCAATCTGCTTTATTCAGATGTTCAAAAAAACTGTTATAATACAAAAACCAGAAATACTTATTTAATTAAAAACAGTAATAAACTATAAATAATATCAAGTAGCATTGACATTGAAACATAAATTACATTAAGGACATTAATACATTTTTAAAATTTATTAGAATAATTTACAAGTTGTTTAAAGTGATACTGATATGTGGTCTGATAAACTCTTAAAATTATGAGCTATGTTTGGTCAGTTTTTATTTTTTAGTATGTATTTAAAAAGAATTATAGATTTTTGTTTAAATTAAATGATGCAATATGTAGAATTTTCTTTGCTTCATAAAAGAATTAAAATGTTTTGGAGTATTGAACAAACGAATTGTTTTATCAAGAAATAGATATGTTAATAAAGATTATAAAGGAAATAAAACTACTAATGACAATGATAAAACTTAATAATGATTCTTTTCTATAGGTATTAAACATAAGCTTAATAAAATAAAAGATGATTATAATAACAAAGGATGATGATAATGACATATTGTATTTCATTTAAGTATATTTATAATTAAAATTATTTGAAAATCTCTACGTCAATATTAAATGTTTAGTTGCTTGTTTATTTACAAGAAATTAAAACAATTTAAATGAAGATTGAATCATTTCAACAATTAAGAGAAACAAATATTTGCACTGCTATGTTTTATTTTAAATATTTTTATATATTCTAATCATTTTAAAATAAAAAAAATACTATTATTATTCAAAAGGTAAATACAGTAGACCTCCCTATAAAATGTTCGGGTTCATATAGTTCGGATTCCTATATGACAGTGAAAAAATTGTGACCGTATTCGTATAAACATGCTAAAAGAGACTCATATAATTCAGTAAAATGTCATTGCTGACTCGTGTCATGACAGGATTGGTCGAATTTAGATCAATAGCGGATATTGCACAAACCGTTGAGTTTAAACGAGTAGCGGACCTACTAAAAACCATTTATTATTTAATGTCCATAAAAATTATATTTATATTAATGATGTCTCCAAAGTTCAGCGAATTTTTCCCAGAAGAATAACTTATCAGGAAACATGTTCCCACTGTTCGATGCCCGCTCCACGACGAAAACAAGCTTAAGCAATGGTATTGTCAAATGGTGCACACTTGGTAAGTAATCCTACAATTTTTTGTTTATAGCATAGTTTATATGGATTATTCCCAAAAAATTATATGTATTTTAGAAATTTTGAGTTGAATTAGTCTAGGAATTGATTAATTTTATGGAAGAAAACCTTTCAAACAGCCGTAGTCCGTAAAGTGCATACATACCGGGCTGTGATTGGCTCATGTATTTAAGGACTTGTAGAAAATGGATTTCATAAAAACCAGAACGTATCTACCATGTTATAGGGGGGTTGACTGTATTAAGTTTAATTTTAATTTTAATATTTTTCATTTAAATTTTCATTTATATTTAAAAATTTAATTTTCATTTTTCTAAATATTATTAAAGTTGATCAATTAAATTAAAATTTTAATTTCTAAATTACAAATTAGGATCACTTTTTAGGACATGCTCTGAGAGATAGAGAAGCAACTATAATTCATCATTTTGCATTTTCAGAAGATCCTTCATCATTTTCTTATCCTGAATTTTCAGCTGGCATCATATTAAGCAAGTCATTAGTTAAAAAGTATGTTTATTTGTAAGTTTTATATAAGATGAAAAATAGTTTATGTTTTATGTTAAAATACAGTGGGTGATCGGTTAACAAACAGATCGGTTAACGAACAAATCGGATAACGAACACTTTCGAGAAAGATTTTTATGATCGGACAACGATCACATGTTTGGATAACAAACACTTCCCTGAATAAACACAAGAATCGATGTAAAATAACGAATACCAATTGGTCTTCCTTTGTCTTCAGGCAACAATTCAAACTTTTCGGAGCGCGGGAGACGTCGACATCGACGTTCTACCCAGTATATACTGATCGGATAGTATTCCCCCGAACTTTGAAACTCTCACTTGTAATTCCAGCCTTTTGTATTTCTGACAGAAACAATTCTTCTACATTTTCTTCTGAAAATGCGGATTTATGCCGATATCTGTTATTAAAGATCTTTTGAAGAAGTAGGAGGATGTCAGAACAACGGTCTTAAAATGGCATCCAAACCAAGTTGAGGTTAATAGGCCTAGGGATCTCTACAATTACAATGCTATTAATTACTTCTGAAAAATCACGAATAAGACAGAAAAGCAATCGACATTGGA